CACATTACAAAATGGAGAATAAATACATAATATTGAGAAGTCAAGTTGACACATTTGGGGAGGGGAGGGAGAAACACAATCCAGTTCGTAGCACCCTACGTCAGTATTGCTCCAGATAGCGGAACTAAAACAGAGTACATTAAAGCTTAAACAAGGTGTATTAGAGCTTAAATTCTGAGCACTCTGGTTTGCAAAAGACCACGGATGGCAGTGACAGCCTAAAATCCATCCCCAGGGTCGATTAAGCCTCCATCGGATTCTCTCTGATCAGCAACCAAAGGTGTGGACAATCTTGCTCTCAGGCAGAGTACCCTGGAACATGGAATTGCTCCATCCCTCTCCAGCCAGCCCAGGGAGGGGCAGTCTCTCTTAGAGACTTGCCTGGGTGTACCCTTGATGGAAGTCACCATACTGGGGACAATACAGGAGGTCGCATGGTCATGAGTCATGTCCTATCAGTCTTACCCGGTTTTTGTCAGAAGGCCCTGAACCAATTTTGTAAACCCTTCTAGCGAACAGATGTGTTCCAATCATGATCCTTTTCCTGCTCCTGTAGTCCCGCCTATAGCTGCGATGTTTTCATCTGCCACCCAAGAGGAATTTGTGACAGCTCCCTTTGTCCTGTGCCTTATTTAACGAGTGTCCGGACTTGAATCCTCAGATGCCATTTAGACATCATGCTATCGGCCTCCCTCATCCGGGTCTGTGGCTCTGTTGCCTTTGTCCCTCTTGAGACTTAATCAATGGTCTCTGTAAACTGTATTTGAGATTGGGGGGGGGTCTCTTTCACACACTAAAACAAATGTCACTCAGCAGAATGGATCCCAGAACCTGTGAGATACAGAAATACTACTAAATCAACTTAGTCATTGTATTGCTCTGATTAATTTGGCAATACTGTACTTCCTCCCACAAAGAAGTGAGTCAGCGGGTTGCTACAGAATGGCACTGACTACTAATTAAAATTAGGTGCTTACCATGTGCTTGGCCCATGGCAGTGAAATGGCTTTATGGGAATTCGTAGTTTCGGTCCTCAACAAGACGACCTGTTAAGTGATTGGCCCAATGAACAAGGCAGCAGAGCCGGGGCTGTTTGAACCCAAAGCCCAAGACACTCTTCTAGACTCGGGCCGGGTCTCCGAAGAAAGCCGGCCCAGGGAGATCCAGGCTCCTCTCGCCACCGCACCTTGCGCCCCAGTCTGGGGTGCGCCTGCTACATCGCTTTATGCTTCAAACTTGGAGACAAAGACCTATTTACACCAACGGTCTGCAAACGCAAGTAAATGTAACTTTCCACATTTGCTGCAAACTCTAATACTGTCCATCCCAAGGGGCACCGGACGGATGTCGGCTAGGGTTCAGATCCCATCCCCTCTGGAGCCGGAGCCAGGGAGGAAGCGGCTCCGGATGGAGTTTGGTAAAGCAACACTCCAAGAAGTGGGAAAAGCAGCCTTTCCTCCCGGGGGAGCAGAGCGAACCTGCCGAGGGCGGTTTCCCTCCTCTTTTCCTGTCCCACCCAGTCTGCCCGTC